TTAATGTGGTTGTGGGAGGTGGTGAGTACAGGCGTTTACCTATGCCTCCATCTTTTGTCGTCCCTCCCTATTACTCTTTATTTTCAAAGTTTTCCTGGCATATTCTTGCTTTTGATTTTTTGGTTGATTCTTTTTCCCATATGTTAATTAAAAACACTTCAATTAAAAATAATGACTGTTGTTTTATAGGAATTGTATTAAATTCATGAATTAATTTAGGGAGAATTGACATTACTCTGATATTAAATCTGCTTATCCTAGAATATGATGTTTTTCTCCATGTTCTTTTGTGCCATTTGGTTGTTAAACTTTTATTCATACAGATTTAAATGACTCTTATAAAAGTTTATTGCTAGGCATTATATTGTTATATTTATTTATTTATTTTCCCTATGTAACCTTGTACAAAATAAATCTTTTTTTCCATTATATCTTCTAATTGTTATTTAAATACTAGGTTTTTTTTTTTTCATTTTGATTACTGTTTGTTGACAAATTCTTTTATTTTTTGTGTACTTCTTTAAATGACTCCACCAGCTTTGGACCTAATGCTTAAATGAGAAATAATATTTTGTTGTGTGAAGATACTGAAATTTTGAACTTGTTGTTACTGCAGCATTTCCTGGGTATCTTGACAGATACAAGCAACTAAAAAATAAAGATGTCCAATATACTAATATATTAGGGTAAAATTCTGTAGAAGTGGAATTGAAACAGGAATTCAAAGTTTAAAAAGAACAATAAAATTTCATACTGTTATGAAATTATGTATTTTTAAAGTGACCAACAGCAGCAATCAAATCACCATGGTCTCTATATTCCAATAGATATTTGAAAGAATGATATCCAGTTTTATTTAAAACTGTGTACATTTAGTGTGCCCGAAATAACATATTTTGCAACTAATTTAATTTGTACTGAAATCTTACAGATGTCTAGGAAAGTCTTTAGGGACTATAGGGAGTGTTCCTTGAGATCAGGTTGTTTTCTGCTCCTTCAGGGCAAGCTAAACTGCCTGGGCTCTTTCTGATGAGTACAGTCCCACAGAGTTGTCCTGCTCTCTCTGGGCCCTAGCCAGATGGCCCATCCCAGACTCTACCCTTTGAGGAAGACCCCCTGGTTCTGAGCTAAGGCAGGGAACTTGTGGGTCCTATTAATGCTACAGACAGTGAGAACAGTTCTGAATGTCAACAAAAGGTCACTGCCACCAATCCAATGTCAACAGGAGTCCCCAATTTCAGGTGCAGTAAAAGGAGAGACTTAATTCAGGTGAACAAGAAAATGCAGACTCCACCAGAAATGGAAGGCACACTCCCACAGACAGGAGGCTGGCTAACAGAGAAAGTACTTGTTCTAGTCCTTGATTGCCGGGGCTGACCAGCAGACCCTGGGCAATGGATGAATGATTATTCTGGCACACATTTCTGTGAAAGAGAGAGGACTAAGAGACTGCTTGGCTATAGGAACCAAACAGCCCCATTCACCTGCCTCCTTGGGCTTTTATTGTAGCAATAGTTTGAACTAAAATTAACTTCTAGGTACTATCAGCAGGGTAAGTATCCTTGAGAAAACACATGTATCTGCAGTATCTTTCAAGCAAGGATGTCTAAAGACTAAACATTAAGATTTCAGTAAAACCCCCGGGGGGCTCAGACTTGTTTGGAAAATTCAAGGCAGGGGCTGCTGCCGTTGGCAAGATCGCTGGCCACCAACCTTTTGGAGGCTCCTCCTTACAGACTTTCCAACCAAGTCCCATGCTTCCCCACATCTCCCCCTTTTTTGTTTTACTGGCTATAGAAGACAGAGGGAGGCAGTGGACTTTCTGCTTTGGAATGTCGGGGTCTGTGAAGTGTGTTCACTACTCTAGTTCTGATTTTGTAGATACAGTGACTAGAGGAGTTCTGGTAGTCACTGTGCCATGCCATGTTAGGGTTTAATCTAACGAGCTGGAATCTACAGTGGCCCTGTGGGGGTAGAAACACATGCATATCTTCTCCCCCATGTTAATAATTCATTGGGTCCTTGAGTCCCATACTTGATTGGTCCATTTTTATGCAATCCAAACTTCTAGTTTTATTGGTCCAAATTGCACTGTTGTGATTGGTCCTTATGGAGCCACTACATCAGGATGGAGATGCAAATAAAGATATACCTTTGTATCTCTAATTGGATAGGGCAGGTCTCAGACCATTGGCCAAAATAGGATTCCAGGAACTCCTTTATAAGATTGGGCTCAGAAGGCAGGAATGTAGTGGAGGAGGCGTGGCAGCTTAGTTTCAGATTTTTCCTGACATGCCTCTGTAATAAAGGCTGCTAAACTCTGGTTATAAATTTGGGTCCACTTATCAGAAATTGTTTTTGACAGGTATATTCCTTCTTGGGATCAACCCAGGAAAGCTAAAATCCCTTTAAGAGCAAACACTCTGAAGTCAGAAACGGGTTTAAATCCTGGGTCAGCTTCCTAGTACTTGTGTGTTCTTGAGGAAGTTTGTCAACTTCTTTGTCTCAATTTCTTCATTTGTAAAATAATTTATTATGTGCATTAAATGACTTAATGAATTCATAGCATTGAAAAGTGTCTGGCAGTGTGTGCTGTGTCCATTGTGTGGTACCTCTCCATCATGACTGAAGCATGCTCTTGGTGAGGTAGCATTTACTCCTATCCTCACCACCACTAGATCAGCCCTGGCTTCAGCAGGTAAGCCTGGTGCTCAGCTGTCTATTGGTCACCCATCAGCATAGCCCCTTTGCATGTTTACATGAAGGTTCTTGTAGGCAGTGGCTGTTTTTAAATACAAAATCAAATACATTTTCTCATAATTGTTATGCCCAGATTTCAAGATTCCCAAGAAACCAACAGGGAGCCAGCAGTCCGATGCAAAAGCATAAGAATCTGTATTTCAAGCTAGCTTGAGCTCCCATCCACCAGACTCACCGACACATCGGCTAGCCAAGTGGCCAAGAGAGCGAACCCCGCCTCGAGACCGGTTATATAGGGGGGGTTGGAGTAAGGGGAGGAGAAAGGACTGTGCTTTGCCGATTGGCCAGGCGCAAGTCGATGTCTTGTTCCTGGGTGTGGCTAGCAGAGTCTTAGACTTCCGGGAAGACGCTCCTTGCCAAGCACGTGGCCAAGGTAAGATGGAGGACGTAGCCCTTACCCTGGGGCAAGGTGGAGAGCCTAGCCCTCGCCCTTTCAATAATGATTATGATACGGGAATTTTGGACTGGAACACGTGGTGTTCCCTGGGCTCTTTGTCCGTCAGAGTCAAAGACTGTTAGGTCGCTGAAGGAGGAACGCACGAGGGCAGAATGGTGAGGGATTACGAATTCATTCAATCATCCGCACACCAGGTGGCTGAGTCTGGATGGCTCCAGAACCCAGTGACGGGAGTCAGCGGCTTTTAAAGGACTTTTGAAGGGCTTTTTCTGGGCAGAGAATTCTTTGTGCATACCCAGAGGGGAGATAATGGAATGTGGTCCCTGCAAGTGAAATGTGGTCTCAGCAAAGGGAATGTCCATAGTGAAATGGCCTGCAAAGCCAGTTACCGGGGTGGTATATGAGTCAATTATTTGATCAGACCTAACAGAAACCACAAAGAGAAGATGGTATAGCAAGGGTGGAAATATATTGAAGAACAAGTACAGATTCCCATGTGGGGAAGGGGAAAGAGTCCCACCTAGTCCCTTCTTCCACAGTTTATAAGGACTGCAGTTTTTTGTGCCTTGATTTGGTCACTATAGCAACTCCTGAGCTCAAAAGGTCAAACCTCACATGGGACTTGTGAGGTCCTCCTCCCTTATTGTTTTCCTAATTTTCCTTCTTTGAATGAGGGGCTTCCTTCCCTTTATTTTGTAAATGTGTATCTTTTGCTACTTCCAGCTCCCTTGTCTTATGGAAATGTAACTTCTGCTTCCCCCAACTCCCTTGTCTTATGGAAATGTAACTTTTTGCAGCTGGGTAGCCTGTGCTTTTTCCATGGACCCCTTTAATTTTTAAAAATTCCCTAAACTTGCCTATTTCACCCCTAAAAACTCCTATTTCAACACATTTTAATTAACCTAGCTATTAATAACAGGAATGGAGCAAAGGGAAGGCCAAATATTATAGCTATATCCTGTGTGCAGCTTTGCCAGGAAGCTGCAGTTTAATACTCCCCAGGTCTATTCCCTGCAGATTGCTGGGGAAAGGGACTGAACAAGGGGAGAATAGACACATGCCCAGTAAAGTCTGGGTGAAATAGGGAAGGTGTTTGTCACCTGAGAACAGGTCATTGGTCAGCATAGGCACGGCCACTGCCGGCATGGGAAGATTTGAGATATTTAATCACTTAAACAAAAAGTTTGATTTCTTGCCCTCTTGGCTTCTGGCACTCTCTTAGATACCTTGCATTCGCCCACATGGCTCACAGGCTATGTGCGTAACCACACAATGGACTAACAGACCTGCAACTAGCCTGATGCTGCACTAGACCCAACTGCACATGGAAAGAAAACTTTGGATGCTGACTTTGCTTCTAGCTCTACTGAATCCCCAGCTACACATCTTCCAGGACTAATTTAAGGGAAATGGGACTTTGGAAATCCAGAGATCTAATTCCATGCAAATAAAAGTTACTCACCCTCCTATGCGAGTCTCAGAAAATTATTTTCCTCCAGATATAGTAAGGACCCCACACCCAGCACAGAGTGGGGAAAGGGATACTCCATTTCCAGCAATAATAAGATATTAAGAAAACGCTACAATTATGTTCCAATATGTTCCTTCCATAATACATGAGTAGGAACAGCAAAAATAGGTTGAGGAAAAACATTCCATATAAGCGTTTATTCGAAAAGATCAACAGGGACGACCTGCTGGCGCCATGGGCCTCTCTGGCTATCCACCTTCAGTGGTTCTCAACCTTCCTAATGCCACGACCTTTTAATATAGTTCCTCATGTTGTGGTGACCCCCAACCATAAAATTATTTTCGTTGCTACTTCATAACTGTAATTTTGCTACTGTTATGAATCGTAATGTAAATATCTGATATGCTATATGTGTTTTCCGATGGTCGCGACCCACAGGTTGAGAACCGCTGTCTGTACCTTGGAGGGTCGCCACACCACTTGGTTTCTTTCCATCTCTCCATCAGGCACAGAGGGACCCTCGGACACAGACGGGAGCCTGCACCTCACCTCCAGAGCCTGGAAGGTGCAGTGGATGTCCGCGCAGGCGCGCCCCCCCGCGGCGGCGCGCTCCAGGCGGAAGTGAAGTCCGAGGCCCGGCTGCGCAGCTTGGGCGGGGAGCGCGGGCTGTGGAGAGGCAGGCCAGGCGGAGGCGGCGGGGTCGGCGGAGACGGAGCTTCAAAGTTCAACCCACGCAAAGAAGCAAGCCTCGCGGTGTTTGCCCCTTGCGGAGCCCCTTCGCCAAGTCGGTCCTCCAGACCCAGGACGCCACAAAAGCGCGGTGAGTGGCGGTGGGCTGTCTGGCCGGAAGTGCGGCTCTTTGTGCAGCCGCCCTGGGGCGGCACCAAGGTCGAGTCCGTCTCTCGGGTCCTTCCGTGCCCTGGAAGGGATCCGCGGCACTTTGTTCCGCAGGGCCGGGCTGGGCGGTGTTAGGTACGGGGTCCTGGGACCCAGAGCCTGGTAGGCGGAGCGGGGCGCGGGCAGGTGCGGTGTGGGCTGCGAGGGCTGCTGCCTAGGTGAAGTCTTTGCACAAAAACGTTCTCTGGGCTCTTTAAGGTCTGAGTTAGATCAGATCAGGAAATTGGATGAAAAATGAAAAAGCAGCGGGTTTTTGTTTCTGTAAGTTAGGTTTGGGTTCTTATGATTTTGATAATTTCATATATGTAATCTATTCACTTTGTCTATCCACGAAGTCGAAATTATTCCATTTGCCTGGCAGAAGCTTAGTGTTTGCCCTCCAGCTTGAAAGGCTTTTAATGTTTTCGTCAGAAAGGACATTTTGTGGCTCAGTCTGGCTTAACTTTGAAAAAGGTGCAGTTTTACAAACTGTCTACAAACAGGCTATTTTTCCTTTATAGTGTATATAAGTGTGCACATAATGGATTGTATAATGTTTAACTAAAGCCATACATAAAAATATTTTGGAGTGTTTTGGCATGCAAGAAAATTTTTTAGATGGAAAGGTTTGTCTGTTTCCCACTCCTTAAATTTTCAAGTCATCCTTGTGTTTGTAATTTCAGGTACTTTCCCAAATATTGTATGAAACACTAGATTAATAATTTTTGTTTTTGGCAATAATAGGAGCACATTTTTAAACTTTGGCACGTATAGATGTAGTGGGTTATTTTTGCATTTTAAGCCAATAATTGAACAAGTCAAAGCTATTTTTGTTCTAATGTTGAAGCTACGGTGGTTCACATTGTGAAGATTTTCTTTTAAGTTACTCGGGCCTGCAACGAGTGTTTGCATATGTTGCTTATGTTTAGCCCTTTTGTGAAACTAAGGTCTGGTAGAGGTCCCTGAAGGCTTTAAGAATTGGAAACAGCCTGCTTCCTTGGGTTGGGCTGGGTGTTTTTGGTGCAGTAGTTACTAGAAGTGCCCAGCACAATAGCGCCCCCTCTTCCTGCCTTCTGCTCTTCATAATAGTGGAAGGATTGGCAATGTGTGTAGGGCAAGTGCCTGACACTCATGAGAAAGGAGGAAGCACCATCTGCTGCAGTTGCTACCCCTGCCCTCCTATCAGGCTCTCCTGTATTTGTTAGGATTTTCAGTTGTTCCGCTCTACAACTGCTTTTCAACTCATTTCTGTTTTAAGGTTAGACAGAATTGTAATGCCAGAATTATTTGAATTTTCAAACATTGGGACAATGAGTAGTGTAATGCCACAGAACTAGAAGATTAGAATTGAAAAAAAAAAACTTAAGTGCTCTTAAAAATATGATTTTAACTTTTTATTGGTTGTGTAGTTTAAAGGGAAATTTTTGTGAACCAAACTTGTCTTATATGAAAAACTTCTTTTCCTGGATCAGTTGAGAACAATTTAAAAAGGCAGTACATTTGTTCCACTCTATATCGTTGAAATCTCTCCAGTTGTTCTATGTAGAAATACATAAATTTCTCCCAATAGATTGCAAACCTTGGTAGTGAAGGTAAAATCTGTGGAAGTTGAGAACTTTCTCCTATTATACACTCTTGATGATACCATACATCACTGAGAATTTCTGATGTTGATTGTATGAAGGGATATTGTATCTTGTATATTGGTGTCTCAGAGAGAATTTAAGCCCCTTGATATTAGTTTTACTGACATGAAATACTAAGGTATAAGGCCTTTAAAATTTTATAATTACTATTTTGTGGGGGAACTTTATTTAGGCCATAGCATGTTTTGAAACTAGAGATAGTAGTACAGTTGTGGGTTTTAAATATACTTTTCCTCTGGTTATTATTGGATTTTCAAATCAAAGACTTTGATGCCATCTCTTTTAAAGATAAATCTGAGATTTTTCTTCTGATGCAGGTGTCAAACCACTCACGAATTCTGACAGTTGAGTCATTCCAAATGGAAAATATATTAAAAAAAAAAAAGTATGACCCTCTAGATCTAGCCTTGGAATTGGGATTCTTGGTCCATACCAATCAAATCAGACTGGGTAATTCTGAGTTTCTGAGTGGCCAGTGGCACTAGAATCCCAGGCAGAGTAGTGATGGTGTTTTTTTTTTTTTTTTTTTTGCTCATGCTCTCAACACACATTTATTGAGCTTTACCTTTTCAGATACAGAGTATTGGATACTGAGCATAAAAATCACATGCTTATCATTATCACCTCAAGGAATACACACATGAGTGTGAGACTACACACTGGGAAAAATAACCATAATGTAAACCTAACTGTGGAAAGTCCCCGACAGATCGTAATAAATACCTGCTGATTGTGAAGTTATTTCATCAGATGCTCAAGCATCTATTATACATTTTTAAAAATCATAATATTTATTTAGCATTTGCTAAGTGCTAGGTGTCGTGATAAATTCTTTATACAAATAATTCTAACTCTTACATATTATACTTTTTTTATCCCTATTTTAAAAGTTACAAAGGAAGATGGATTAATCCGTCACAAACTGAGATCTGTCTAGTTCCAAAACTCATGTCCTGAAATTCCAGTGCCAGACATTTTGAATCCAGTTCCAGCGATATTTTCACTCCCAATGGACAAAAGGAGCACCAAGTAAAACTGATTACTTCTGTGTCCAGTGGTAGGAGAAAGGCACACAGACGGGCATGTTAAGCAATGGCACGATGAACAATACAGCTCATCAGACTTTCTTCTAATCATTCCTTAAGAATAGACTAGGACTGACCCCAACCTCATATGTTGGGCCACACCAATAATTCATTCATCACCTAAGTATTTTAATTGTTGTTAATGGTTCTGTGCTTGGCTAGAGCAGTGGAGTCCACACAACATGATTTGCAGGGTCAGGCAACAGCCAGCAGAGCTTTTGTAAGGCAAGAAGTCAATGTATGATAGGTGAGACAGATGTCAGCAGAAGTGACACACGCAAAAAGATTGGTTTCTGTTGCATTCTGAATAATACCCAATGGCTCAAATGCCCATCACATGACCAGGTACTTCTTTAACCTCATCTTCTACCATTTTGCCCTTGAATGTTCTGTTCCAGCCACACGATCTGGAAATCTATCGAATCCTCTCTGGCATCAGGACCTTTGCACATGCCTTTCTTTCTGCCTAGAATGCTCCTCACTCAGATACCAAAATGGTTAGTCTCCCTACTCCCTTCAGGTCTCTCTCCTCAGGGGATACTCATCATTGAGCATGACCACCCAATGGAAAGTAACAGCCATATGTCACTTCCCCCTTAGGCGACTTCATTTGTCTCCAACTCACCACCATCTAAATAATGCACTATATGCCCGTTGACTTGTTTGTTGGTATGTCCTGAGGTGCAGAGCTTGCTTGCCTTGTCCACTTTTGTAACCTCAGTGCCCAAAATAATAAATTTTCATTGGTGGAATGATTGTGATTATTTTGCTAATAGTGTGGATAGATCCCCCCTCCCCCCACCCCCCCATACACACACATTTCCATTAAAGGACCATGGTGTATTTGGTTAAACAAATAACTTCAGAGCACTTACTGTATATGCTAGTCACAGTAATAGGTATTGGCACAACAGCAGTGATCAAGACATGTATTATACATGTTTGCAAGGTTCTTCGCTCTCCTCTTTGGTTGATCTCATCCTCCTCCCTCTGGCCCTTCTACCTGATTCCCACTTAGGCTCCTGACATTTGATCCATGCTCCTGTCCTGCTCTTGACTTCAACTTCACAATTCCCTCTTTTCATCAAGCTGTTTTTTTTTCTTATATTTTCATTATGCACATTTAAAAAGTGTAACAACAATACAATGTACAGTCATATACCCAACATCTTGATGGGACAATTATTAGCATTTTGTTGTAGTTTCCCTTTTACTGAGAATGTGTTTAATTACTATAGGCATCATGTCATTTTTAGTCTTGTGTGCGTTAGTATAGATTTCTTAAAAAACCTTTATTAACCAAAATACTATTATCACACTTAACAAAATTAATAATTGTTTAATGTTGTTTGATACCAGTCCATATTCAGTTGTGTCCCAAAATGTTTAAAATACCATTTTACAATATTTTCAATGTAAATTAGGATACAAACAAAATCCACCTATGGTCTTTTTTTTTTTAATTTTATTTTATTGTTTAAAGTATTACAAATAGTAGTACATATGTCTCATTTTTTTCCCCATTGACCTTCCCCCGGCCTCCCCTACCCCCCGGCACATGCCCTTACCCCACCCTCCCAGTGTCTTGTGTCCATTGGTTATGCTTATATGCATGCATACAAGTCCTTCGGTTGATCTCTTACTACCTCCCCTTCCCCCAAAACTCACCAGCCTTCCCGCTGTAATTTGACAGTCTATTCGATGCTTCTCTGCCTCTGTATCTATTTTTTTGTTCATCAGGTTATAATGTTCTCTATTATCCATAAATGAGTGAGATCATGTGGTATTTTTCTTTCACTGCCTGGCTTATTTCACTTAGCATAATGCTCTCCAGTTCCATCCAGGCTGCTGCAAATGGTAAGAATTCCTTCTTTTTTATAGCAGCGTAGTATTCCATTGTGTAGATGTACCACAGTTTTCTAATCCACTCATCTGCTAATGGGCATTTAGGCTGTTTCCAAATCTTAGCTATTGTAAATTGTGCTGCTATGAACATAGGGGTGCATATATCTTTTCTGATTGGTGTTTCTGTTTTCTTGGGATATATTCCTAGAAGTGGTATTACTGGGTCAAATGGCAGTTCCATTTTTAATCTTTTGAGGAAACACCATACTGTTTTCACAATGGCTGCACCAGTCTGCATTCCCACCAGCAGTGAAGGAGAGTTCCTTTTTCTCCGAATCCTTTCCAGCACTTGTCGTTTGTTGATTTGT